AGCCACACTGTTCCATCCATATGCAAACATTATGTTTTGTTTTCTGGTTTTTCCTTAACTATATCAACAACATGTGGTTGAAATCGGATTTGGAAGTGGTTTCTATGTACTTGCAGATTCTGGTATTTTAAAGGCACAGTCATTGAGACTTGTGACTCTTTCACTGGGAAAATAGAACACGACTTTTAAAAATTTCCCTTACATGGTTTTCTAAACAATGCAAAATATCATGGTGCTGGCTGCACTTGTAATTTAATTGAAATTGAGGTCAGTTGAGGTCATTAATTGGAGATTCTCCGGGAATTCTTGCTACCATTTGCTCTTTACATCTTGAAGGTCTTACAAGTTAAACAGGAAGATGGGTACAAAGTTCTTCAATGAAGAACATAAGAATCTAGTTCTCAGATAATTAAGGAATATCTGTATTGGAATTTCCATGGTTTGTGACTTGGGAAGGATGCTGATTTTGATAATCGATCCTTACTTAAAACCAAGGAGAATAACTTATGCGTGGGACTTCAGTTATTATTCATTTCTGCAAAATCTAATTTCATGCATTATTAGTTGACAGTGTAAAAAAAATGTACTATAGACTGTTTCACATACTGGGCCAAGTGCAAAATGAGCTGCCAGCCAAAACTAATAGTATACACCTTAACCTATTTCCGTCACATCCCTCATCACAGTTATCATATATTGATACTCTTTCTGCTGTCTTCTTCAATTGTTTGTACTATATTAATTATATTTATTGACGGTTAAAGCTATAAGTGGGTTTCTCCAAACCCGTGAATCGTTTGTACCATAATTTTTTAGCTTCATGGACTGGATTTTTTATGCTGATGAAGTTTGCATTTCACGGCCTAGATTTTAAACTACCTTTTTTGTATGCAGGCTCTACCTTATCTTTACATTCCCTGCTCTGATGTGGGCCCTGTAACAAATGATGAAGGTAATTCTTCGCTGGACCTTCAATGGTAGTATAGAAGCATCATCTATGTCTTTATATCTATGAAAACTTAATCTCAGTATTGTGAGTCAGATGTGCTACTCACTTTTAGTGTGTCAGATGTGCTTCTCATGTGTAGGTTGAAATTGGTTAACGGAAGTTTTCTCTGTACATCTCATATGTCACGACGCAAGATTGGTTGAATATAGTAAGTAATTAGGGAAATGCTCCTTTTTTTTTTTGCAAAACTATGTATTCATGAAGACTAAGAGAAAAGATCGGTCAGGTACGATTGTGAATTAGCTATATGGTCATAGGTAAACATCTAGTTATTTTTTCTGTTTTCTAAAATTTTTAGTCAGTAAGAATCCACATTGATTGCAACGAGAAAATATGGGTCAAGTAAACAACTGAATATATTTGAAGTAATAATTATTTCTAGAAACCCAAATGGATATGTATATACAAGTATTATTTTACATATTTCTAGCACTCAAAACACTCGGGCCATATATTTCTTAAGCTTGCGGGCAAGCGAAAGGCCTCCCAAGAATGGGGCTTGACGTAATAGAGAAAGACCGGTACAGTACAAGAAACTCTTCATTTCCCAAAATAATAACTTTAGCGGAGCAGCACATTTCATCAGAAAGGACACTCGGCTGTGTGAGATCTGAGATTAGGAATTTGAATCTGCCTTGACTAGAAATTTGCAACGATTCAAAGAGACCTTTTGAAGCTTACAATTCCTTTCCTGGGTATGCATGTGTTATTTGGTTTTTATCCGATGATCAACTTTGTGTGTGGTCAGATCCCCCTTCTCCATCTCCAACCCAACCTGCACCTTGCATATACAAGAAAATTTATATCTTGAGCCTTCGTTGCCTTAAAATATATGTATTTCTATTCTTTGAATCACCTTTGTATGCCATGTTAAATACTTGTTAACTGCATAAGTTGTCTGCTTTTCTTTGAAAATATTAATTTACAACTGTAGGGGTCATTGTTATGAATTTCGTAATATGCTCGATAACCTGGTAATTGTTAGTTCTGTAGTTCTGTTTTATTTGTCCCCTCCGGCCATTTTAAAAAAAATGGTTGAAGTAAGTTGAGTATTGTACTTTTTGTTTGGACTTATATTTCTTTTTTCCTTTCTTGTAATTGAGCAGTTGATTCACAAACACATACTATATTTCTTTCCCTTGAGAAGGCTTTGAAGGTACCTCACTGATTTTTGCTTGCCATTTCCCATTCTACGGCTTACCCCACACTAACATACCATGAAAATTTGGATTTAACTTTTGACAGCTCAAAGGTAATGTTGGCTCAAAACGTCAACATGTGCACGGTTGCGATCTTGTTCAGGCAAAGAAGTTTTATGGTTATCATTCTTCAGAGGATCTGTTTCTGAAGATTTATTTGTATCCTAATTCTTGATATTTTCGTTTTCTACCTGCCTAAGTTGCTGTTGTAGATTATCCTTTATTATATAAATAGAACATCCTAGGGGCTCTGGAACTTGTCTTCCAATTTCCAAAATTTGCAACTTCATATAGTTACCAGAAGTAATGATTTTTAACCGTTTAACGTCTAATAATGCACTGACTGAAGTAATTATGCACATTCCTTTTCTATTTCCTCTTCTCATCCAATAGGCGAGGGTGTAATACACTATGCTGATTGATTTTCTGAGTACTACGTTAGGGGTGACATAGTATGTGAGTGTTACACTTTTGTGATAATATTTATCAAGTATGTGAGAGTATAAAGCACCACAAAAATAATGTTACGGGGAACAATTAGTATTTCTACTGCTAGAGTTCGGTGGCATTCTATACTTCCTTCCCATTTGAACTCTTCAATCTTGATAAGATTATCACCATCAATAGAGTCCTCTATGTTTCAAGTTGTTGTCGATAGCCATTCTTATGATTTCTACTTACATTGACATATAATTATTGCATATCCTGATTTTTATAGTTCTCCTCACATCATTGAATTTACGATTCACTATCCTTTTTTTCTTTCTATCTACTGCCAATTGACTTTTTCAACGAACACCTTGACATAAAGATCAGCTATCATCCACAGGATGTTTCTCGTGCTGCAAATCTTCTTCTGGTAATATTTGAGCTTCTTAATTTTCAGTAGTTTGTATTATTCAAACTTGTAGTTTCTGGCACCTTTGTAATTTATGTATTTCATTGTGTGCAAGTGCTAATTATGACTTGAGCTGTTTAAGTGCTTTATCTACCAAGTTTTGATGTGATACACTCTACAATGTTTGGGCCATCATTCCTTTCGGCATTTTTTTTTTGGGTTTCTCGATGCGTTCCCCCTGCCCTCTCTTCTCTCTCTATGTATGTATACATGTGTGTTTATGAATATGCATATGTATTTAAGTGATAGGCTTCTCCTAAATGCAATACTTTTAGATCTCTTGCAACTTTTTTTTTCTATTGCCACATGCCAAGTGATTGTGAACCCAAAACCTTTATTGGTTATCTAAGGTAAATTTTGTCTGTGTTGTAGTTTTTCTTCCTAACAATTTGCAAGATTAGAGGTATCTAACCGTTCACTTTTGATTTTTTGGTGTAGACAGGTGCAATATTGGATAAAGTTTTACAGCCTTATGAATCGCATATACCTTTTCTTCTCCAGTTCTTGGTATGTACATCTTAAAAACAAAGTTGGCCTTATAATTTATGTGTGACCATTACATCACATGCATTCAAATGGATTCGAGCCCTTGACCTCTCTCCAGAATAAGAGAAGGCCTGCATAGCTCATCATCGTTCTCGATGTTATGGCACTTGCGAGCTAACTTCTAACTGTAAAGGATAATAGTGATTTATTACAAGGATTATGTTCTTATCTTTTTAGCTGAAAATGACATGTCAGTGTAACAAATTCTGAAGGCAATTTTAGTGGCAATTTGTTCATGGTAGTGGGATTCTAGAAATTGTGTACAAGTCGCCAGTCTAGTATGTTAATAAAGTATTTTCTCAGAAGTAAATCAAAGTTACTCTTCAGAATTTTAACATCTACCAAGAAACTGATCCCCGTGCCTTATGAAACATACACGAATCATTAGTTATGGTATTTAATGTCCTGGTGTTCTTATACTTTAGTTGGTTCCTCCATTCACCACATGATATTTGGTTTTCTATAACAAACGAAGTGGATTTGATGTTTCAATGTCGAATTTCTTAGGGGTTTTTACACCCTATATGTAGCTCATACGACTTGATATCTACTTCACAATTTCCAGATCGACTACAATTTGTATGGGATGGGTCATTTACATGTTTCAAAGATAAAGTTTCGGTATCCTGTTCCAGATGTTTTCTTTCAGCCGAAAGTTCAGTGCAACGGCAAAACGAGACCATTGACGGATGAATCCGCTTCCATGGATTCTCAGGTATTTGTGATGTTCTTTTTGCAGGTTCTAGTAGGTCGATTTTTCGGTTCAGAATTTTATTAATTCTATTCAATGTTATTTCATTTCTAGGCAGATTTAGGTGGTGATTTGAATGTGAATACCCCAATATGGACATCTTCTACAATTCCGGATGGGTGGATCTGGCAAGATAATTCTCACTTCAGACGTCAGAGTACCTCTGAGCTGGAAGTAGATGCCATAGCACACGGTTTGTTTGTTATTATAATTGCCTTGAAGTTGATGCTGTCCTCTCCTTTGTCCATTTTAGCTAATATTTTTTATTTATCATACGTTGATGTCCAGATATCATAAATCAGCAGTCGACATCTTATGCACCTCTTTCTCAAACCCGTTCCGATACTAAAATGGTTCAGTCATTAATACCAATGTGGGAGGTTTGCTTCCAATCCACACATTCTCTACTGAATGGATATTTGAATTGAATGTTCTGTAATGACGAGTTGTTTCTTTTTACGCTAGGAAGAATATGAAAGGAACGGTGTGCCTGAGGCCATACCTCCTTACTCTGACAAACCAAGTCCGCGAGACGTATTGAGGATTCTGTCAGATGAAGTTGAGTTTGAAAATTTTATGGAAGTGAAAAATGATGCAGAAAGCTGGTCGCATTTGACTCCAGAATCAATCAAATCTTCTGTAGGTTGTGCAGATTTGGTTGACGCTGGGATTGCTAACCTCGAGAATAGCAATCCTTTGCCTTCCAAATATTTCAAAGCAAGTGACACAATTGGATCTTCATTATTGTTGGATTCACCATTTCAGAAAGTTAATGCCTCAGAAACTAATGAGATTGATGCAGCTGATCAACTGCAAATATCTGGCACCATGGGACCATCGAATGCAAAGGTAATACTTAGTTTTTCCGACTCAAATGAGAGTGATAAGGGAGAGTGTGGAGAAGATATTCCTTTATACTAGACTTAGTTCATGCTTAGAGTCCTAATTTGTATAGACTGTGACCCCAAACAAAGTTCTTTCACTGTTCTTCTTTATGAATTAGTGACATAGATAACCCTGCACTTTGATGCTCCCCTTGCATCTCGTAGGTAGTCCTTGTATATTCAGATTTTCCTTAATCTCTTGTGCCATATGCTAATGCTTAATACACTACTTTTTCCTTGAATATTAAAATTGAATTATGCCATGGAATTAACAGTCTGAACGGAGTTGATGAATACAAAATAGAATATCAATCAAATTAATAGGGGTGCTAAGTGCTTGGTATAAGTGCAAATATTAATCAGATCAAATTAATAAAATAGAATTAACTATCTAGTAGTGGGTCTTCAATGTTTTGTGTCGCAGATTTTAGGTCAAGTAGTGAAATGATGTGGTTTTAACATTCCTGGGAAGCAGGGTAATTGCTTTTATTTCAAACAACTTTAATTGTATGATTTGTCTTCATTATGTTAACGTTAACTTAGTTGTATGATTTGTCTTTATAATATCGACTGGCTTGGTCTTATTTATATGATGTCACACTGTATTTTAGGGGTTACCTTTTTTTTTTTTTTTTTTTTTTTTTCCATCTTAATCCTTTGGTGTACAAGTGTATCTAATTGTAGTATTAATGAAACATATTCATTAGGACACAGATGACGATGCATTAAGGCTTTTGAAGTGGCTTGCATCTTCTCAAGCCGAAGGGGATATCAATTCTGATGATGAACTCGCTCGGGAGACACTTTTAAGTCCCTTAGTACCTTCAAAAGACATCAACAAGGTCTTAGAGAGAGCCAATGGGGACTATGAGAGTGAATCCCAGAAAGAGTGTCAAGACATTCTTGATTCTATAGATATGTTAAACTTTGACGAGTTGAACGGTGAGCACAATAATTCTCGAAAAGTTATGTCGAATAACGTAATACCTCAAGTGGATGGCTCCAGTGACGATCCTCAGTCAACTCCCTGCTCCAGTAAGTCGATCAAAACAGATAATAGTGAAGCAAACCCGTCTGTGGGAGTTCAATCATGGCCTGAATTAGATTCAAACTTAACCTGTAAGCACAGAAGGAAAAGACCTCGATGGGGTTCTTTACCTATTTCTTCTCAGAAAGCGAGCGATGTTTCACATCCCAACACATTTTCCATTTTAAGTGGATGTGACAATGAGAAAAAAGAAGGTTTAGGAACTTCTTGGATTGGGAAGGAAGCAGAAGAAATTCCACCAGTAATGTTTGAATGCTCTACACGAGATTTGATGAGGAGAAAGCGGTCTCATCGAGCTGAACTATCTGAGTTTGGGAGCCTAGTGGAAGATTATAAAGCAGAATCATACTGTGATGCTGAGTGCGAGAAAGGAGATATACATCTTGACACAAATTTTTTGAGTGACATCGGAGAGAAAAAGGATCTTTTTTCACCCATCGATAAACCTCCTTTAAAAGATGAGGGGACGACGTGTAATACAAGGAACATGAGATCTACCGTTGATGTGTGCGAGGCTCTTCTCAATAAATCAACCAGTTCTCGTCTTCCGATTTATGGAGAATTGCCTCTATCCTCTAGCAAGGATAGAACTGAAGTGTTAAATAAGTTAATGAATGGGAATCCGGAGCATGTCAAACGAGTTGATTCTGGAGAAAGCTATCGTGGTGAATATTCACAGAGCTCTATGGATTATGATACAAACCTTCATGTCAGTTCTTGCAAGCTTGCAAATCTTCACGTTCGGCAAAAAGGTGCTTTGGATTCTTCTACTGTGCCTTCAAATATAGGTCCAAGTGACCTTGTATCCAGAACTGACTATACAAGTGAAAGTGGATGTCAGACCTCAATCTCTATGTGTAAGTTGGCTGAAATTCCAGCTGAGGATTTGAAGGGCATGGGAATGCAAACAACACTTCCGCAGTTCGAAAATCCACCACATCACGGAAGAAGTTTCGACTCATCCAAGTCTTGTGAAACGTCAAAAGATATAAACAATGAAGCTGGAACTGTAAACCTAATTGGTATGACCTTCTCGAAAAAACCTCCAATTATAGACTGGACATATGAGCCTGAGAGTGAAGGTTCTGTGTTGCCTGGGAATGGGGGCAGTAAAGCAGGAGCATCTCTTGAGGGAAGATTTGAAGATGGTTGCATCCCTTTTTTCTCGACGAACTCCCTAGAAGAGGAAGAAGAACTTCAGGGTGTTAGCCCTAGAAACTGCGAGTATATTGATAGCCATGAACTAGTAATGGGTGTTCCTGTCATGCATCAGAATGACGGGTCATATTTATACATGCTGACCCCTGCAGTGTCACCTCCATCTCGGGAATCTGTTGATAGGTGGTTGTCATTTGATTGCTATAATACTTCGGAGCAAAAGCTAGATGCACCGATTCTCCCGATATCTAAGGGATTCCCTGGTGATATAGTGGATTCACAGGGTTCTCGGGCTGATGACAGTAATTCCCCTTTGACCAGTTCTGCTTCGTATGAAGAAAAGTCTGATTTTAATCAACTACACGAGCTTAATCAAGATAACTGCCATACGGAAGTTAAAATTCGTAACGAGGCTAAGAAAAAAATATCAACTGGCTTCTCGCAAGATATCTCTCAGATATCTGGTCCTGATAAAATGGTGAGGCTGACTCCATTGAGTCAAATTGGTTTTCGGGATCCAGCAAGTGTTGGTCAAGGGCAGCAACTAACGCTGATCAGTATAGAGGTACTGGCTGAATCTAGAGGAGATTTAAGACCCGACCCTCGATTTGATGCCGTCAACGTCATTGTTCTTGTTATTCAAGAGGATGAAGAATCTGCACTCGACACTCGCATTCTTCTGCGTTATGATTCTGTTAATGTTGAAAAGGACCTTGATGCTGTTTCAGAGTCCAAGCTGTTTGTTTTTACCGAAGAGCTACAATTGTTTAACCATTTTACAAAGGTCATTCATGCATCTGACCCAGATGTTCTGATGGGCTGGGATGTTCAAAGTGGCTCCCTTGGATTTCTGGCCGAAAGGGCTGCACACCTTGGCATTGGTTTGCTAAATAATATATCAAGGACACCATCAAAAAAAAAAGTAGCTTCTGGAGATTCCGGAACTTCTGAAAAAGAGACGATGAAAGGCATATTTTCTGAATCAGTAACAACTGAAGCAGTCCCTTTGGAGAACATTATTGACGATGAGTGGGGAAGAACACATGCCAGTGGTCTTCATGTAGGTGGAAGAATTGTGCTTAATATTTGGAGACTGATGAGGAATGAAGTTAAGCTTAATATGTACACTGTCGAAGCTGTAACTGAAGCAGTTTTGAGGCGAAAAATTCCTTATATCCCTTGGGAAGTTCTGACAGAATGGTTTTCTAGTGGTCCTGGAAGAGCAAGGTACAAGTCTATTGATTATATATTAGAGAGAGCAAAGTTGAATTTGCAAATCATGGATCAGCTTGATATGATAAACCGAACATCAGAACTTGCTCGAGTATTTGGCATTGACTTTTTTTCAGTACTATCTCGAGGTTCACAGTATCGTGTTGAATCAATGTTTCTGCGGTTAGCACATACACAGAACTATCTTGCCATTTCTCCTGGAAGCCACCAAGTTGCCAACCAACCAGCTATGGAATGCATACCTCTTGTTATGGAGCCGGAATCTAATTTTTATGCAGATCCTGTCATTGTTTTGGATTTTCAGTCACTTTATCCATCGATGGTAATTGCATATAACCTTTGCTTTGTACATGCCTAGGAAAGATTGCACCTCCGAAGGAAAATACTCTTGGTGTCAGTTCGTACATACCAGATATTAATAATTTACACAATTTGAAAAATGAACTACTGATTACTCCCAATGGCGTTGTCTATGTTCCTTCAAAAGTTCGGAAAGGGATACTACCTAGGCTATTAGACGAGATATTATCAACCAGAATTATGGTGAAACAAGCAATGAAAAAATTGGATGCTTCTCAGCTGGTTCTTCACAGGATATTTAATGCTCGACAGCTTGCTTTAAAGCTTATAGCAAATGTTACTTATGGATACACAGCTGCTGGATTTAGTGGACGCATGCCTTGTGCTGAGCTTGCCGACAGTATTGTGCAATGTGGCCGTAGAACGCTGGAAGCTGCAATTTCTTTTGTAAACTCAAATGATAAGTGGAAAGCTAGAGTGATATACGGTGACACAGACAGGTGTGTATTTTATCTATCAGTTTATTTTGAGAAGATATGATCTTTAATTCTGTAATGAGTGGATTCGAAATTGAAGAAAATTGAATTGAATAAATCATTTGTGCATGGTTGCATGGGCCCACATCATCTTAGTTGAATCGTATTTGTTGGACATTTATCTAGTTTTATAGGACTAAGAAATTCTTTTTCTCTGTCTGGTGCAGCATGTTTGTACTCCTTAAAGGGCGTTCTCTTAAAGAAGCTTTCACAATTGGACGAGAAATTGCATCAGCAATAACTGAAATGAATCCAACTCCCGTCACGTTAAAAATGGAAAAAGTTTACTACCCGTGTTTCCTCCTCACGAAAAAACGATATGTTGGATATAGTTATGAAAGTCCTGATCAGAGCAAGCCAGTATTTGATGCTAAGGGTATTGAGACAGTGCGAAGAGATACATGTGAAGCTGTATCTAAAACTATGGAGCAGTCATTAAGAACCTATTTTGAAAGTCATGATATTGACAAGGTAAGGAGTCCTCTCTCTCTCTCTCTCTCTCTCTCTCTCTCTCTCTCTCTCTCTCTCTCTCTCTGGAGTCTTGTCTGAATTCTGGATGTATTAATGTGTTTTGCCTGTACTTTGAAACGTATGCCTCGTCAACGGCTTTTTTTAAAGTACGACAAACCTAAAGTTCATTGTGGCACTGATTTGATAGACGTACGTACTTTTGATAGTTACTAAAAACATATTGAAACTTGATTCCTTTGGTTGATTTTTTGACTCAACGACGTTTTCTCTGTTTTCCTTTGGTCAGGTCAAAGCATATTTGCTGCGTCAGTGGACAAGGATATTATCTGGCAGGGTGTCTCTTCAGGATTTTATTTTCGCTAAGGAGGTTCGCCTCGGTACTTACAGTACACGCACTAGTTCACTCCCTCCAGCTGCAATTGTGGCCACTAAAAAATTGAAAGCCGATCCAAGGGCAGAACCTCGTTATGCTGAGCGAATACCTTATGTAGTGGTCCATGGTGAACCCGGGGCTCGTTTGGTTGATATGGTTGTGGACCCACTTGAACTACTTGCCATCAATTCCCCTTTTAGATTAAACGATGTTTATTACATCAGCAAACAAATAATCCCAGCTTTACAGAGAGTGTTTGGTCTTGTTGGAGCTGATCTGAACCAGTGGTTTTTAGAGATGCCTCGTCCTGCGCGTGAAGCAGTTGGAAAACGCCACTCCCTTGTGACAAATCCGCAGAGGACAAGAATTGATTATTACTACGTATCGAAACATTGTATCCTATGTGGCGAGTTAGTTCAGGGAGGATCAAATCAACTGTGTCCAAACTGTTCCAAGGACGAATCAATTGTTGCTACAGCTTTGATAGGAAGAACTTCGAAACTGGAAAAGGATATCCAACACCTTGCTGCTGTAAGTATTACATTAGTTAATTCGAATGTCGTAAAATGTCTTAAAATGGAAAAGAGGATCTTTCTAGTGGAATTTAGAATGGTTAATTTTTTATTCCTTTTATTGTCACGTATTTCTGCAGATATGTCGTCACTGTGGGGGTGGAGATTGGCGTATTGAAAGTGGAGTGAAATGCATTTCATTGGCATGTTCGGTTTTCTATGAAAGAAGGAAAGTTCAGAAAGAGTTGCAGTCGGTCTCGGAAGTTGCTACAAGAACCGGTTTCTACCCAAAATGTACGGTGGAGTGGTTTTAATTCTATCTTATGTGCCCTATATATATAGACTATACTTGTTAAATATGTAACTACATAAATACCTCTCTTGGACATGTCCTCCTTGTTGTTGCACTATTCTCCTTGAACCAAACGGAGCATAAGTGATCGCGTTGCTTGCAGTATATATGTTGTATAAAATTATTTTGATTTTGGGTGCTTGTAATTATTTGTGGAACTGTAATTATTTTTGAAATAATAAAACGATCGAAGGATTGAGTGATGTTTGTTTGCACAGTGAAGTGAATGCTTTTTGGGTGAAAAAGAGGAAATCATTTGCAGGTAATGTTATACAATAAAGCATTCAATTGCAGTTACAAAAATGTATTTTGGGAATTACAAGTTGCATAAAATAAAACAGTAAAAAATCGGTAGTCGGTAGTTTATGTGGGTAAAATTTACCACAAATTTCGAAAGTTTAGTTGTGTTGTAAATAATATTAGAGTATTTATTTATATCTTGAGTCACCCGGAGTTTATAACTTCCACTACACCATTAAGTTATAATTTCCACGTAACTTTTATGTAACCTTCTTGTACCTTTACATTTTTTTTTTTTTGAGTAAATTCAAGTCCATTACAAGGGGAAGTAGGGGAGGGGGGACTCGAACCCTAAACCGTTACCCTATTGGTAAAGGCTAGGTACCAACTCTTCTAATGAGAGTTGGTTTTGTACCTTTACATTCATATAAATGAGAATGTCCTCTCCTTTAATAACAACCATAATTATCCATAATTATCTTTCTACGATGTCTCTCTTGTGTTATTACTTGCTCTGTATTTCTATTCTCGTATTTACGATCTTATGTATTCCCACAATCACCAAACAAAAGAGCTAGGTTAAATACGTCATTTTACAACAAGTTATCAACACGAGATGCTCGCGGTGATTGTAGAAAGCCAATCATTTAACGGACGTGGATGCTTGAAAAACTTGTGATTCGAGTTCGTTCGTGAAACGATGATCGCGTTCATCACAAAATAAAGGAGGAGATTGAGTTGGAAAATTGGAGTGATGAATAAAATAAAATAAAATAAGCAAGAAAATAGGATAGGAGATTGGCATCACCAGTAGATAAGAATTGAAGACCGGGGACTTCAACAAAATGATATATTTTCACTTTTCATACATCATCATCATCATCATCATCATCATCATCATCATCATCATCATTATTATTATTATTATTATTATTATTATTATTATTATTATTATTATTATTATTATTATTATTAATTTTTTTTTTTTTTTACTAATATATTTTACTTTGACTTTGTTAAATAATTATGTTAAGATATTTAAAAATAAAAGCACCTCCTCTTCAAGAAGATGATGAATCTCCATCGAATAAACCACTCCGAGAGATTAATTTAGAAGATCTTTCTGGAGATCCTGGACAAAAGGCCTTGTATTTTGCAATATAATGTTACTGATCGAGATCGAGTTTGTAGAAAATATTTGCAAAAAGGTCCTTGCCAACTGCATAATCACACATTTCCTTTCACAGTTAATGGCAAGCAAAATAGATGATTTAATAACGTCTGTTTCACCAAATATAGTACTTGGTTGGAGTATGGTGTATCCAAAGATGCTTCATAATGTTTATGTTGTTATATTTTCAAGTCAGATATCGGAGGTCAATCGGTATCACCACTTTGTTACTGAAGGATTTAGTAATTGGAAGAAAAATAAAAAGTTATCTACTCACGTAGTAGGTCCTAATACTGCACATAATGAAGCTTGGGAAAAATATGCAGCTTTATGATGAATCAAAATCAACATATTGAAACAGTTGTTCACAAGCAGTCATATCAAGAAAATGCTAAATATAAAATGTGTTTGAATACTTCAATTGAGGTGGCTCGATATCTCTCTCAACACAAGGACTAACATTTCGTGGTCAGGATGAAAGTGATAGTTTGGCTAATCCATGAAATTTTATTCAACTTGTGAAAACCTTTGGCCAAATTAATCCGGATATTAGAGAAGTTACTCCAAACAATGCTCCATTAAACCACAAGATGATATGTTCAGATATTCAAAAGGAGTTTGTAAATGCATTTGGAAAGGAGATGCTAATGGTTGACGAAGAAAGGTATATATTAATGAGTGAGAAAATTACCTTAGTGGTAAGGTATGTCGACAAATCTGGTAGTGTGATTGAGTGATTTTTCGGAGTTGAACATGTTACTGATACTAGTGCTTTCACTCTTAAAGCAACTATTGATGATTTTTTTCCTCGATATGGATTGAGCGTCTCTAAAATGCATGGTCAATGTTATGGGAGCTAGTAATATGAGATGTCAATTACGGGCCTAAAAACACGCATCTTGAATGAGAACCCTGTGCATATTATTCATGGCTTTGCTCACCAACCTAGCTTTAGACGTAGTTACTAAGAAGCACGTTCATATTTCTTCACTTTTTAAGTTTACTACAAGAGTGTTGAATGTTGTTGGTTCTTCATGTAAATCAAGAAGGAAAAATCTCAAGCGAGAGCAGGTTATATATTTTTAGGCTTTGATATTTTTTTACCATTTTTACGAATGTCTCATAACTTCTCTTTTTAA